GAGTATATAACAAACTCTGTATTTTGAGTGGAAATGTTAGGGGGTCGTCTTATACGCCCAGTCGTCTTATACGCCGGCAAATACGGTATATTATTTGAAATTCATTTGTATAGATTTGTCCTCCCCCTATTTACTCATTTATTTGTATCAATATAAATTATACATATTTGTTTTATACTTTGGGTTATAATCTGATACTGCTTTATTAATTTTGCTGCTCAAATCATTCCAGCTTTGGCTTTTTGGAACTCTCTCCTGTTTCCCTTGACATGACCTTATCCTTTTTAAGTACCTCATCTTCTGACACTGTGAGATGCTCTGGGCCCTGTCCTAGGCCCAGAACCATCCATTTCTCCAAGGAGCTCTGCCTGAGGCAGTTAAGTAAATTGCCCGAGGTCACACACTTAAGTTAATGGTGGAACCAGGATTTCAGACAAAGCAATCTGATTTCACAAACTCATGCTCTTACCACAGTACTGGACAACATGCAGCGGAAGGTGCATTGACAGTTTCTAGCCATGTTCTATCTATGAGCCAGCCTTAATGATAGAATTTATAGTCAGCTTACACCAATAATTACCCTATTTTATATTGATTTTTTTAACCACAATTGTAACAATTATAATTAACTGAAAATTAGTTACTAGCATGCTTTGTTAGCTGCAACATGAAGGCAACTACTGGAACTGAGTAGCCAGTTTCCAGGGAACTGGTGTCAGTGGCACATGCTCTTTCTCTCCCAGCTGCCTTATAGCAACGATCCTGATTTTGAAATGGCTTGGGCCATGCGAGCAGTGCAGCATGCCAAAGTCTGCTACAAGCGATTTCATCAGTTGACCCCAGTTCCTGAAACTCACCAAAGTGGATGACCAAATCTATTCTGAATTTTGAAAAAATTTTGAGAAACTCAGGATAGAAGCGCTCAAATCAGTATCAGCTAAAGAGAAGTGGATGCCATTCTGTTTGAAGTTTGTCAGGATTGTAGAAGACTTCAACTATGGTACTTTGCTGCGACTGCATTGTTCTCAGGGCTACACTGAGGAAAACACCATCTTTACCCCCAGGATACAATTTTTTGCCATTGAGATTGCTCGGAACCGGGAAGGCCATAACAAAGTAGTTTACACTAGTGTTCAGGACAAAGAAAAAGAGAAAGGAGCTGACAGTGAAGAAGAGAAAGAATCTAACAGAGGAGAAAGAGAAAACTGACAAATGGAGGAAGTGGCTTAAACACTATTGGTGGGGTCATAGTTGATTGTTTCTTGGTATATTTTTTCTTGGTTCGCTCCACCTGGCAAGTAAAAAATTTTGTAAATTAATTTCTTTTGGTTCTTAAAAAAAATTAGTTATTAATCACAGATAATGACAATATTTTGGTGCATTTCCTTCCATGTGTGCATGCAAATGCATTTTGAAATTTTGTTATATTCTGATTTTTTAATTTAATTATGCACAAATATGGAGCACTCACAGTGTAACCAAAATCTGATTCTGCTGATTCTGTTGTCACTGATGATTAAGATGAAAGTGAATTGCGCTAGGGTTAATCTATTTTGCCTGAAAGTTATGGTCACAAAAGAGAAAAACATCTGTCTTGATTTATCAATTCATCAAATAATCCTCAAAATATTGTTACTAAACCTTATCTTTTTTCCCCGTTGTAGTAGTCGATAAGTCCCCTCTGGTAACGCATACCTGACAGCTCACACTTAAGAACAACCAGTCACATCCTGCTTGCATCCCACCTCAAAACAAAACACACTCTTCATGATGTGACCAGCTGGTTTGAATGAACCATCTGCCTATATACATCACCTGCATTACCTTCTTAGATCTCACCCTCATTTCTTCCTTCTATCACCAGTAGTTTAATTTCACTTCAGGCAGTCTTCCTCACACAGAGATATAAATCTTTTTTACTCACTCCTCCCAGCCCTTCTCTAGTTAGTTATTCCCAGAAATGTTTATTTCCCACGTTTACCTTCTCTCATTTACCCTCTTTTCTGGGCTGAAAAATAACTGTCATATGGCAGATAAAATATACAGTATTGCTAGTGACATACTCCTATCAAAGAAAACAAAAGCTGTAAGCTTTGGAGTAGAATTAAGTATAATAATCTCGTAATCTCTCAGTTCTTATCAATTTATACCTACTTCTGGTACTAACATTCAAACTAAATAATAAAATAATTTAAATTTTATGTAAATACAGTTGGCATTCTTTTCGTTGTACATATACAAGACTGTTCACTTACATGCATTAATTAACTTTATAATAAATCACCAATCAAAGCTGGTTTAGGGGGGAAATTTATTTCCTGAAATAGTTTTGTAACAGACCTCATCTGTAAATTAGGCATCCCTCTCCCTTAAGTACTGATTTTAAATGTGTATAATCCACTTTTTTAAAAACATAAGATATATTTATGTATGTATATGTAACAAGGTTCAAGTTTCCACTGAATTAGCCATGTGGATAAGAGGGGTTACTTGACCGCCTGGAAAGGGCATCAGAGGGTGACAGAATCTTGGGACATGGCCATACTCTGATTTTTAGCCAAGCTCAGGATTTACTTTTGTCACTGTTCCGAGATGGATCAAGTTCTATGGCACTGTCTGCAAAACGTGTATAGTTAGAATGTGAGATTTTCAGATACGCCAAATATTGCACCAGGGGCACATTCTCATCCTTTCGGAAAGTTTATATGAAGGCTAAGTTGTAATCACAAGGCTAGTGTGAGCATGGAATCAGAATTGGGGTGGGAGTTGGTTTATATATTTAATAGCGAGTGTCCTGCCTCTGCTGTGGAAATGGAGACCTATCAGAGACATGTCCTTTGATTGGCTGGTTAGGACATAGTCTTCCTCTTCCTCTTTGGGATTCTTTTTTTAAGATGCTATGTTGTCTGTGTTTTCATTGGAACATTTACTCTTAGAATCAATTAATTAGGTAAATATCTTTTGATATGTTCATATCATCATGCTTTCCCAAAACGACCATAGTCCTCTTAACTAGATATGGCTCGTCAGCTAACCATTTACTAACTTGGTTAGAGGAGAGTGCCTATATTGATGACCAATTTCATCTCTTGTTGAGTTTTACAAATTTTGCAAATTTCACTCTGATTTTCTTAATTCATTGTTGGGGGAGGGGATTTTTACTGTTTTGTGCTTGTCCATACTGTTTTTTACCTTAAATTAACTATGTTTTTGCCTATCTATTTCAGGCCATATCATAATTCTGAATCATGTCTGATAACGGAGAACTGGAAGACAAGCCTCCGGCGCCTCCTGTGAGAATGAGCAGTACCATTTTTAGCACTGGAGGCAAAGACCTTTTGTCAGCTAATCATAGTTTGAAACCTTTGCCCTCTGTTCCAGAGGAAAAAAAGCCCAGGAGTAAAATCATCTCTATATTCTCAAGCACAGAAAAAGGTAAATAGCTATGGTGGTTTCAAGAGTCTCAGTTATTATTTTGTTACCCATTTTGATATCTTTTTAATTAAAGTATAATAAGTTGATTTTTTTTTTTTATAATGAGAATAAACAGATCCAAGAAAACAATTGATGGTGGTATATAGGCACTATTAAAAAGGCCAGTTTATTTTAAACTGTGATAGAAGAGAATAAAAACTAAGGTTGTTGTTCAGCCTATACTTGTTATGTCCAGTGAATTTTCTCATTTTCAGAGATTTGGGTCATAGTGTATGGCTTCCAAACATTAATGAGATTTGTGATTTGAAAAAGACCTGCTATTATCAGAATGGTGATAAAGAGTCTACAGTCCCCTGTCTGAAATCCCTGAAGCCAGTTGTGTTTTTGAATTAAGAGTTTTTCTGATTTTTGATTAGCTAGTAATACTGCCTTTTTATCATGTATTCTGTAATGCCCTTAGAAGCGTCTGAGTTAACATGTTAACATATCTTCCACAAACATGAGTCTAGTGCAGGGTTTCTCAAATTCAGTATGATTTTACATAGTGAAGGAGTTGTTTCATGTAACTTTTGTACAGGCATACCTTGTTTTGTGCTTCCCAGATACATCTTTTTACAAATTGAAGGTTTGTGGTAACCCTGCATCAAACAACTCTATCGGCACCATTTTTCTAACAGCATTTGTTTACTTTGTGTCTGTGTCACATTTTGGTAATTCTCGCAATATTTCAAAGGTTTTTTTTTGTGTTTTTAGCAATAATGGATAATAAAAATATTCAAGAATCTCGGGCCGGCCGAGTGGCTCAGTTGGTTAAGAGCTCACTCAAGAATGCGAGCTCTGAGCAACAGGGTCGCCAGTTCGATTCCCAGCCCAAGCTGAGCTGCCACTAAGCTGCCAACAGGTGGCAGGATGGCTCAGCTAAAAAAAATAAATAAATAAATAAAGATCTCAGAAAGAAATAGTAACTTAATAATTGTCTTTATACAAGTTATTACCAGCTTCTCTAAAAGCATATTTAATGTAACACACTATTAAGAGTTGTTGTATAATACCACTGTATAATTACTTGTTTTTAATTAAAAATATTTTTTTCAATTATAGTTGACATTCAGTATTATTTTATGTTAGTTTCAGGTGTACAGTGTAGTGGTGAGACATTTATGTAATTTATGAAGTGCTCCCACATAAGTCTAGTACTCACGTGGCACTGTACATAGTTATAATATTATTCACTATATTTCCTATACTGTACATCCCTGTGACTATTTTGTAACTACCAATTTGTACTTCTTACTCAATTCACCTTTTTCACCCAGTCCCTCAATCCCCCTCCTATCTGGTAATTATCAGGTTGTTCCCTGTATCTATGAATCCATTTCTATTTTGGTTTTTTTGTTATTGTTTATTTTCTTTAGATTCCACATATAAGTAAGATCATATGGTATTTGTCTCTGTCTGACTTATTTCTTTTAGCATAATACCCTCTAGGTTCATCCATGTTTTTGCATAAGATTTTTTCATTATTAGAGATAATATAATATATTCCCTGAGACACAAAAATATTGAAATTATTCCAATTAACACACAGTGGCCTCTAAGTCTTCAAATGGAAGAAAGAGTGCACGTCTCTCACTTTAAATCAAGGCTAGAAATTATTAAGCTTAGTGAGGAAGGCATGTCAAATACCAAGACAGGCCAAAAGCTAGGCCTCTTGTGCCAGTTAGCCAAGTAGTGAATGCAAAGGAAACGTTCTTGAAGGAAATTAAAAATGTTACTCCAGTGAACACATGAATGATAAGAAAGTGAAACAGGCTTATTGCTGATATGGAAAAACTTTTAGTGGTCTAGATAGAAGATTAAACCAGGAAAACAGTCCCTTAAGCCAAAGCCTAATCCAAAGCAAGAGCCTTACTCTCTTCAATCCTGTGAAGGCTGAGAGAGGTGAGGAAGCTACAGAAGAAAAGTCTGAAGCTAGCAGAGGTTGGTTCATGAGGTTTAAAGAAAGAAGCGATCTCCATAACATAAAAGTGCAAGGTGAAGCAGCAGGTGCTGATGTAGAAGCTCCAGCAAGTTCTCCAGAAGATCTAGAAAGATAAATAATGAAAGTGGCTACACTAAACAACAGATTTTCAGCGTAGATGAAACAGCTTTCTCTTGGAAGAAGGTGCCATCTAGGACTTGCCTAGCTAGAGAGAAGTCAGTGCCTGGCTTTGAAGCTTCAAAGAACAGGCTGACTCTTGTCAGGGGCTAGTGCAGCTGGTGACTTTAAGTGGAAGCCAATGCTCATTTACCATTCCACAAATCCTAGGGCCTTTAAGAATTTTGCTAATCTACTCTACCTGTGCTCTGTAACTGGAACAACAAAGCCTGGATGACAGCACATCTGTTTACAACATGGTATACTGAATATTTTAAGCCCACTATTGAGACCTACTGCTCAGAAAAAAGATTCCTTTCAAAATACCACTGCTTATTGACAAAGTACCTGGTAACACAAGAGTTCTGATCGGGATGTACAGTGAGATTAATATTATCTTGCCTGCTAACAAAACATCCACTCTGTAGCCCATGCATCCAGGAGTAATTTTGACTTTCAAGTTTTATTATTTAAGAAATACATTTCATAAGGCTGTAGCTACCATTAGTAGTGATTCCTGTTATGGATCTGGGCAAAGTAAATTGAAAACCTTCTGAAAAGGATTCACCATTCTAGTGCCATTTAAGAATATTAGTGGTCCAGCTGAGTGGCGTGTTGGTTAAAGCTGGCTTGGGACACCAGCTCTGAGCAGCAGGGACCCGGTTCGGATCCCACATGAGGGCCAGTGACACTGCCCTCTACAGCTAAGATGGTGAACAACAACTCGACCTGGAGCTGGGCTGCCATGAGTCAGCGGCGACGGCATAGTCTGCAGCCCCTGCTGCAGTGGGTTGCCATGGGCTACCGTGTGTGGCTGGCAGCCAGCGTGAGCGGGCAGCAGCTGGTGTGAGCTGCCAAGAGCCGCCGTGAGCAGCCGTCCAGAAGCCGGCGACCAATCTGCCTCACCCGGGAAGAGCGCAATGATGATACCAACATGGGCCAGTGAAGCGACATCTTCCACAACTAGACTGAAGAACAAAAGGACAGCAACTTGTCTGTTCCCCTTCCCCCAATTCCCCAGCGCTGTTCCCCTCCCTCAATTCCCCAATAAAATCTTTAAAACAAAATTAAAAAAAAATATTAGTGATTCATGGGAAGAAGTCAAAATGTCTAATGGGAATTTGGAAGAAGTTTCCAACCCTCATGGATGTCTTTGAGGGGTTCAAAACTTCAATGGAGGAGGTAACTGCAGATGTGGTGGAGATAGCACAAGAACTAGAATTATAGGTGGAGCCTAAAGATGTGACTGAATTGCTGCAATTTCATGATTAAACTTTTACGGAGGAGGAGTTGCTTCTTACAGTTGAGCAAAGAAAGGGGTTTCTTGAGAATTGGAATCTACTAGTGAAGATGCTATGAAGACTATTGAAATAACAAAGAATTTAGAATATTACATAAATTTAGTTGATAAAACAGTGGCAGGGTTTGAGAGGATTGATTCCAATTTTGAAAGAAGTTGTACTGTGGGTAAAATGCTATCAGACAGCATCGCATGCTCCAGAGAAATCATTTGTGAAAGGAAGAGTCATTTGACACAGAAGACTTCATTGTCTTATTTTAAGGAATTGCCACAGCTACCCCAGCCTTCAGCAACGATCAGCCAGCAGCCATCACATTGAGGCAAGACCCTCCATCAGCAAAAAGATTATAACTCTTGTGAACGCTCAGATGATGGTTAGCATTTTTTAGTAATAAAAAAGTATTTTTAAATTAAGGAATATAAATTTTTTTAATTTAAAAAAATTTTTTTAGATATAACACTATTGCACACTTAATGACTATAGTGTAGTGTAAACATAGCTTTTATATGCACTGGGAAAGCAAAAAATTTGTGTGATTTGCTTTATTGCGATACTCTATTGTGGTGGTCTGGAACCAAACCTGCAGTACTCGTATGCCTAAGGTATGCCTGTATTGAGTCATTGATGTAGGTTCTGGACAAAGATTTAAGGTTTGCTGTGAGGTATATATTTAAGAGTAAAATTGCTGGATTACAGGGTGTTCTCATGTTTCACTTGGCTACATTTGTGAGAGGGCTTTCTAAAGTTTTTTTTACGTTCATTCTTACCCACAGAACATAAACGTTCCCATTGCTAAACATCCTTGCAAATCCCTGTATTACAGGACTTTAAGTTTTGCCAGCTTGGGAGTTGTGAAATGGTATCCCATTGTAGTTTTAATTTGCAGTTCCCTGTTAACTTACCATTTGTGTTTTCTGTGGCATATTCTTGAACTTATTTTTTATTGTTTTTTTCTTATTTATTGATAAACATTCATAATAGTCTATATACTAATCCTTTGTCAGTTTTATGTTATTAAATATAGTTTTCCAGGTTATGATTTGTTTTTTCACCCTTTCAATGGTATCTTTTGATGAATGGAAGTTACTAATTTTGGTGTAAATTGATCAATTCCTTTTCTTTATGGCTCGAGTTTTTGTATTTTAAGAAATCTTTGTCAAACTAGCAGTCAAAGATATTTTCAAAAAGTTTTACAGTTTGCCTTTTATAATGTAAACCTTTGAACTATCTGTATTTGTTTTTTGTGAATCTGTAAAGAGAAAAACGTTTTCACTTTTTTTAACCAATGTTCCAGACCATTTATTGAAACTTTTATTATTTCCCCACTGACCTGCAACACTAGCCATTGTTTGTCAGGTTTCCATATATGTGTGGGCCTGTTTATATGTTCACTATTTTATTGCATTGGCTTATTTGTCTCTACCTGAGCTAATACTACACTGCCTTAATTACTATAGCTTATAATTCTTAATACTCAGTAGAGGAAATTTGTTACCAAGTTCTTCTTCTTCATTGTTTGTCAGGTTTCCATATATGTGTGGGCCTGTTTATATGTTCACTAT